GAGTGCATATGATTGAGATCAGTGATTCATTCGAGAAACATGTGGGTTGGAATGTGATAAAAAACCCACAATATTATACGGAGACAATGTTTCATGCATAGCACTATTAAAGGAAGGATTTATAAAAGGAGATAGAGCGAAGAACATTTTACCAGAATTATTCTACACACACGATCTTCAGAAAAATGGTGACATTGATGTGCAACAAATCCGTTCAAGTGATAATCCAGCAGATTTATTCACTAAATCTTTGCCAACTTCAACTTTTGAGAAGATGGTATACAAGATTGAAATGCGGAGACTCAAATATTTGAAACAAGGTTTTCATCATGGGGAGTAAAATACGTGATGCACTCCTTTTCCCTTACTAAGGTTTTTCCCATGGGGTTTTACTTATAAGGTTTTTAATGAGGCACATAGCAATGCGTTTTACTAAGTATGTGTACTCTTTTTCCTTCACTGGGATTTTTTCTCACGTGGTTTTTCCTAGTAAGGTTTTAATGAGACACATTATCTTTTAATGAACATCCAAGGGGGAGTGTTATAAATATATTATATTATGGATGTTCATTTAGTACTCCGTTGTAAATAATCTTCCTGAAGAAGCTTATCTATATGGGACTCCACCGTAAATATGTTTATCTATTTAGTACTCTATTGGAAATAAGCTTCCTGAAGAAGCTTATCTATATGGGACTCCACCGTAAATATGTTTATCTATTTAGTACTCTATTGGAAATAAGCTTCCTGAAGAAGCTTATCTATATGGGACTCCACCGTAAATATGTTTATCTATTTAGTACTCTATTGGAAATAAGCTTCCTGAAGAAGCTTATCTATATGGGACTCCACCGTAAATATGTTTATCTATTTAGTACTCTATTGGAAATAAGCTTCCTGAAGAAGCTTATCTATATGGGACTCCACCGTAAATATGTTTATCTATTTAGTACTCTATTGGAAATAAGCTTCCTGAAGAAGCTTATCTATATGGGACTCCACCGTAAATATGTTTATCTATTTAGTACTCTATTGGAAATAAGCTTCCTGAAGAAGCTTATCTATATGGGACTCCACCGTAAATATGTTTATCTATTTAGTACTCTATTGGAAATAAGCTTCCTGAAGAAGCTTATCACTTCGGTACCCGGTTATGGATAAACATTGCTCTCAGTAGAAGATTATTCATATCTGGTATAGTAGCAGCTTACACAGCAGCTTGCAGTAGCAGCTTACACAGCAGCTTACACAGCAACTTGTAGTAGCATCTTACACAACAACTTGTAGTAGCAGCTTACACAACAGCTTGCGTAGCAGCTTACACAACAGCTTGTAGTAGCAGCTTACACAACAACTTGTAGTAGCAGCTTACACAACAGCTTGCGTAGCAGCTTACACAACAGCTTGTAGTAGCAGCTTACACAACAACTTGTAGTAGCAGCTTACACAACAGCAGCTTCCTTTCTTTTATAAATAGAAGAGATTTCAGTTCATTATGTACATCAGTTTGAATTCGAATAATATATCAGTTTCTCTCTATACTTGTCTTTACTTTATAGTCTTTATTTTATAACAATTTGTTATTTGTAAGTTATGAGTAATAATCATGAATTGTTAGAATGATGAATTATTAATTTAGATGATCCTATTCATCAAAGCTAATTAATAATCCACATTGAGATCTTTAAATTTTCGAATAAATTATGGCAATATTGGCAATGCATAGTTTTGTATCATAAATCAAATGTTGTTTTAGTTTTACACGTTTATATTAACACTAAGAGTTTTTACGGCAAAACTAACCCTATTGTATTGTATTGTATTGTATTGTTTTTTAGATTTAATATTTAATTGTTACTTAAATTATATTATGTCATATTATTAAATTTATTGTTATGTAATAATAAAGAGGTTTAGTTTAATGATTGATTTGGTGTGATTATGTTGCCTTGTTTCTTTTCTCACTATACTTTTACTTGTTATTAATTAATAATTTTATTTCGTCTAAAATGGTAATTTTACTATTTCAAAATAAAGAAAAAGATAATTATTTATGATGCCTTAACAAGTTATAATATATTTCATGACAGTATAACACAACTAAATTAATTTAAATTACTTATATGGAAGTCTTCATGATAAATGCTAATTGAACTTAAAAAATATCATAAAATCAATTAAAGTACAGATAAAATTAATCATCTACTTAATTTGCATAGGCTGAAAGTTGCAATCCCATAATTGAAAGACGTATAATGACTTTAGGTGAAATTGTTAGTTTTCAGTACATATTGATATTTTGTTTTTAACTACTAAATGTTTTCAATGTAAAATTATATTTTCCCTCATGATTATTTAGCTATTACTTGAATCTTATTTTAAAGTGTAATCTTATTATTATTTTATTTTCAACTAATTTCATTGGAGTTGCACACATTTAAGAACTTAGTATACTTACAAGAGACAATTGGTGATAAATCACGAAAGGGTCATCTTTAATTATTTTATGAATATTTGTTAAAAATATAACATTTAGATTAGTTAAGGATATTTTAATAAACCTATAAGTTATTATGCAATATCATAAACTCAAACAATAATAAATATGTATTAAATCCGAACAACAACAACAACGACCCAGTAAAATTTCACAAGTGGGGTATGGGGAAGGTAGTATGTACGTATATCTTATCCCTACCCCAAAGGAGTAGAGAAGCTGTTTCCGGAAGACACTCGGCTCAAGATAATAAGAAAAATAAAAAGAAGAGAATATTAGTTTCACCACAGAGATCATAGGAAAAATAGGAACATAAAATGTAGAAGGAAAAATGCAAAACAAAAATGATGGCTAGTAAATAGGTCCTGCACCGAAAAGAGAAAATAGTAAGACACTGCAACGCCCCTAGCTATTTCAGATAAAAACCCTACCAGACTAGGCTCACAACAGTACAAGGTAACGCAAGACTCAGTTACCTCCTAGCCTACAACCGTAATACTCGACCTCCATAACTTCCTATCAAGTGTCATGTCCTCGGAAATATGAAGCTTCGCCATATCCTGCATGATCACTTCTCCCCAATACTTCTTAGGCCGCCCTCTACCTCTTCTCGTGGCCTTCACATATAATTTAATGATATAATTTATTTGTATACTATATTTATTAAATAATATAATGTAATACGATACATTAAACAACGTTTTGAAGTTTTGGAGAGAGATGTGACGTAAAAGTCCTTTTTAGAACTACAGTTATTCGCTTTATTTTTTACCCTTGTTTTTGTCAGGCAATTATTCGATTTAGACAGGCTCTTTTCTTTTTTTAAACATGCATGTTAAAGGTTTTCTTTTTTCTTTTTATTTTCCCATTACAAGATCACACAACGACCGGCCGTCTAATTACAGGTAAAATCCAACGGCGACTAACCGGAGCAATATTTATTTAATTAAGAAAGAGTTAAGGGGCCCCACTTTCGTGCTGTGAAGTTTCCCTGTCTGCAATTACTCCTCACAGCAACCATTTTTAGATCTTCAAATTTTCCTCTTCTGAAATAGCTCCGAATCATTCCAGCAGGATCCGACCCGGTTACAGTCCAGCTCATCAACTGACCCCTAGCTTCGCTTGATCCGAATTCATGTAAGTTCTTAAGCTCATTGCTTTTAATTCACAGTAAAATTGAAGGGTCAATAGTCGGAAATGTGTGATCAATTACTGTGATTTGTTGTAGTTATGGTGTTGATGAATTGGAGGTGTTGTTTAACAATGAGGTTTAAGATCAATTACAGGGTCTAGGCAGTTGAAGAGTGAGTGAGGAAAATTAAAATGCAGCGTATACCGGCTACAATTGAGGAACAGTTAATACTAAAAGCAATCAAAGAAGAATGTCCCTGGGAGAATCTTCCGAAGCGGCTTCAGGCCACGGTAAATTCCAAAGAAGATTGGCACAGAAGGTTTGTTTTCCTTTTTTTTTTTTTAGTTCTTTCCAAATCATGTTTATGGTGGAGCCTACTGCTTTCGTCCAATTTTGTGGTTGGAAGCTATTATTAATAATTCCATCGATTCAACTTAGCATGGTTATGCTACTTCGTGAGTTATGGCACTTCGATTCACTCAAGATTTTCTTTTGTCTCATATCAAAACAGAGGATGAAAGGTTATAAATGTTTTGTTGAAGACAAAATTAAGTAAATAAACGTGTCGTATCAAACTGTTTAAACTTTTAGTTGAGGTGGTTACACTTCAACGTAGTATTAGATTACGGTTTCAAATCTCACCGCTATCCTTCGTTAAAAAAAATCGCGTGCTTGACCCATGAAAAAGAACAAGGCTTGCTAGCACATGATGGCATTGGTTGAAGATATGATTGAGTAAATAAAGGTGGTCACACTATTCACCAATTTCAATGAAAGCATACATGTCCGGAGGTGGATTTTAGGACAATGCAGTGCTGTTAAATTTTTGGCATGCTTGAAGTTCAATGTCACATATCTATTTGAACTTGTGTAGGATATATTAGCTTCGGTTGTAACTTTTTGTTTGACCTTCTGCAATTAAGTATGAAGCGAACAGGTGTATACGAGGCTATCAATCTTGAGCAAACTTGTAATGATGTGTAATGAGTTGGGAATACTGTGTTTACTAGGACAGTCTAGGTTCATTTAAAAGTGGAATGGTTAACAGTAGTGAGTGGTGAGATAGTGCAACCTTTTCTAGGTCTATAACTGTTTGTCATGAATGTTTTGTGGTCTGACGTCAATTTTTGGAGGTCCACCAGCTATAACATTTCATGAACACTCTTTTTAGAACTTTAAGGATACAGTTTGATCCCAAGAATGTGCATTTGTGATCATTGATCCACTTTTATTTATTGTGATTTGACTCATGGACTCGCTATAAGTTGACTCTACTGCAACCCTCTTCCTTTATTTACTTGGAGCAGCTATGCGAAACTCGTAGAAGTGAATTCATATATAGAGAACCCCTAAATGGCTCCTAATAGAGCGGGATATATAGAGGATTCATACCGCCAGTCCAACTAGTTTGGGATTGGGGAGTAGTTGATCGGTTGATTAATTGGATTTAGCATTGTAGCAAGACAAGATACAACACTCTAATAGAAAATAATCGTTTATATCCCTTATTTCTTTTTGGTGCACCCATGCAGTTCCTCTTTGTATAGAAGATTGGGTGCTATTTGTAGAGAATCATATTATTATGCAGGTCTCCACTTTTTGGTATACCTCTTGTATGGAGGTCTTATGCCCAGTATTTATCAATAAAATTTATTACCTTATCAAAAACAAAAAAGATACAATAATATTTTGTTTCGTGAAGTTTTGACTTAGATTTAGTATTTTTGTTGTGATCAATAGATATGATACTTGTAAATATTTCATTTTAAATCTTTCTTTGCTTATGGACAATCACATGCTATTCTTGCAATTAGTAGTTTACTTGTGCTTATATTTTCTACTGATTGGGGTTTATGCAGGATAATTGAACATTGCATAAAGAAGAGACTCCTGTGGAACACTTGCTTTGCTCGTAAAGTGTGTAAAGAAGGTGAATACTATGAAGAAATGTTGCGCTATCTCCGACGGAACTTGGCGGTGTGTATTGGGTGGAAATTTTTTCTCATCCTTTGTACTACAAAGTTGTTATAGATTTTACTCGAAAAACAGTTCTGCTTAGAAAAGTAGTGACATGAAAGAAGGAAAAAAAATGATGTTTTTTAACTAATATAATTTTTTTTCTTTCAAAAATTTCTTGTTCTACTCACGAAAAAGACATGTTTTGGTTTCCCATTCTGATCAACACGGGGACAGAGTTCCAACTAAAGAAGCTATGCACTTTCCAGTTTCCACCATTTCAATCAATTTATTTCTTACATGACATGTTTTACCTTTTGAAATCAGTATTCACGTGACATATCTATAACTTAGATCATCATATGTTTTTCCGGACACAAGAGTGTGCATAGCTCCAAAGTTCTTAATGAATATTAAAGATGAAAATTGTTTATCGTGGATTATCTATTCAATTTTACAATGTATTGGTTTCAGGGTTAGAAATTGCAAGTCATTAGAAAGTCAATTGAAGCCATAAAAGTAAGCTTGTTTTTATTGTGAGACATGCTAATCAAAAGGCTTAGACGAAAGAAAAAATTTAGCATCATTTACTGAAAAAGAAACAAAGCTTTCTCCTGATCAGTGCAGTTCCTTCTTTTTCACATTAGTAAGAAAAGGATTTATGGCAACTCTTTTATATAGTCTCTTTCCTTTTTTTTTTGTGTGTGGGGGGTGGGGGGCTAAAAAGCATTATGCGTATTTAAATATTTGGGCATACGTAATGGCATTGCCTTTGGCACAGAAGTACATATGTACCGAAAGACTTGGTCATCTTTTGATCTTGTTTTTTTTTTAACAATGTGTTCTCTATTTTAATTTTAATGCCTTAATGCTTATGAAGCATACATTTCTATAAAAAGACTTGGTACTTTTTCTGCCCAATTAGATTTTATTTAATCTCCGGATAATAAAGATGGCATCCCAATTAATCAATTAGAGAAATTATTAGTAGAAGAGAAAAGAAATGAGAGTAAAAGATGTCCCCAACAGGTGAAGATAATGAGAAATTAGTCAAATGCTGATTTCTTATTACCTTCAAGACCAATAAAGTTATATCTTGGATATGCACCTAATGAATTGGAACTAATGCACAATAACTTAAATGTCATTATATTCTGCTTGCAGCTCTTTCCATATCACCTTGCGGAGTATGTTTGCCGTGTCATGAGGGTGTCTCCTTTCAGATACTACTGCGACATGATTTTTGAAGTCATGAAAAATGGTATAGCCTCCTATCATGTTAGTTCAGAATTGACTATTGAGGGTGTATTTTTCTTTGCTCGAAATTTTAAGTAGATTCTGATGCTGACACGCTGTATAGCGTACTTAGATTATGTCCTAAATTCTCTTTGCTTAAAGATGATTGCGCTTGTCAACAAAAAAAGATGATACCTTTCCACTGGGCATTTCTGCAAGTTTATATGCAGCTTAAATGCTTGCACTTTTAGTTACTAATTCGAGGCTATTATTTCTGGAAGAGAACTCTTTGGACGGCTTAATAGTTCTATTGCGCTTTTGACACAAGAGCGGCTCCTGAACCAAATATTTCAGCAGCATTCCTCTCTCTCTCTCTCTCTCTCTCTCTCTCTCTCTCTCTCTCCCTCTCCCTCTCTCTCTAAAGTCCATTCATGTGTACCTCTTGTATACAATCTTTTGCCCAGTCTTTGTCACTGCTAAAAGGTGGTCCTCCTTCTCAGTTTGACACCATTTGATTAGGAATGGAGTTTAAGATATTAGTTTGACTTGTGTATTATATTAGTAGTAGTGGATAACATAACACTAATAAAGCAATGGTTCAGTAGTCAGTTAGATGGAGAAATACACCAGTTTAAATGACTGAATAGTTTAATATTTGGACACTTGAAACTTTTGAAAGTTGTGAGATAATATTGTTTTTGGACATTTCAAAACAGATAGAATGTGACATAAATTGACATGGATGGAGTATTTACTCATCTTTAATTTATTTGCATGCTATAGTAGTGTCGGATGCGCTATCTTTTCTGTAGTGATTGCCCTACATGGTCTTTTTATTAAAGCAATCTAGCATGTGCTGTAGAAGAATTATTCGGTGTTTGCTGTCAACTGTTTATACTAAGATTTCCTCACAGTTTTCTGCATTTGACTGCTGATTCTCATTGTCATAATTTCTATGGATTGCAAATGTTAACGTGTCCTTCTTGCTCTGGTCACTTAAATTGTCCAAAGAAATTTCAGGTTCTTTGCAATTGGTACCAATAATTTCTATGGATTGCAAATGTTAACGTGTCCTTACTTCTTCAGCTATCACTAGATTGTTCACGGAAATTTCAGGTTCTTTGCAATTGCTACCAGTCTTATGGGGTTTCTGACTCTCTGTTATCATGAATGCAGAGCAACCCTATGACAGCATCCCAAATTTTAGTGCTGCAGATGCCTTACGGCTTACTGGAATTGGAAGAAATGAATTTATTGACATCATGAACAAGTGCAGATCTAAGGTATTGTCGCGTGTTCGTATCTATTGTGACAGATAGCAAGTAAAGGTCATGATGCTCCATGAAAGCAGGATTTGTTAAACTTATAAGTTTCAAGTAGTAGAAATAGAAAATTAGAGTCCTGCTGGAATTTGTTCTTTTAGGTAGGCTTTTGCAGGATTTATATAGGTTTAAAGCTGTTTTATTGTGGTTACAGTTAGGGTTTAGGTTAGCAGCATTTTCAACTTAAAATAGGGGTATTTTTTGATGTCTTACTTTGTCACGACATTAGGGTCTTTGCAAGTTTAAGCCATTTATTTATGTATTCTTTTATTTTAACAAAAAAGCTGCCATTTTGCAGATTATTAGTGTTCTCATTGCTGCTTAAGTTATCTCTTTTGGAAAATAAAATCCATCTTTATTTCTCTATTTCCGTTTGCTGTTAGTTTTCTCCACTACTTGCTGCACCAAGGTTAACTACTACACTTGCAATTTCACTACCAATTCTATTATCCTTGACGTGGACTTTTATGGTAAATGGCCTACTGTTGGAAAAGAAAATTCTTTCCCATATTTTTTCACTGCTTCTGGATTACCTTGTAAGTTCCTCCCCTTGTCTTGGTTTAAATGGCCTAAATGGCTTGGAGCGGAAATTGCAATATAAGTGATTAGACTAGTGCATCCCTCCAATGTTACCCTTTAACTGAATAAGGTGATCATCTAAGGTGGACCCTCCAACATTAGAAGTCACCAGCAGTAATCATTCTTGAGTTTCACTTCTGTTAATCCCCATACACAAGTATGCCCACTTTCATGATCTCTTTGTGATAAAACAGAATCTTATTGACATCACAACATGATGGTATCGAAAATCTGTACAGAGCTGAAAATTGGCTTAGCTACACTAAGCTAACAAATTGTTCCAGTCATCTATACAAGGGAATCTTCTCTTTACGTTGAAAAAAATACATGAAACAAAATTCGTTTGGAGTTAGCTATATCCATTTCAATATCATGAAACAATCTTCCATTTCTTTCATTACAAGCAAACTGCCCTAAAAAACATAATGGTTTAGTTCTCCAGACAGCATTCCAGTCCTTCCAGAAGTTTTCTATATCCTCCTGCTTGTGAATGTCTCCTTTTTTGGGGGGCAATGCAAAAGAGGAAAACATCGAGAGAATATAATACACCGTTTCGTGTAGAAAGATTAATGAAGGATGCTGGCTATTCACCTTTGTCCCTTTGCTCAAATTGGTCAGGGTTCAGGGAAGATCCATTAATCTCACCGTCCTGAGCTCTGTGGCTAACCTAGGCTTTTCGTCATGTTGTCTATTGTAATTTCAGTTATTTTGGATCTTGACAGAAAATTATGTGGAAGCTAAACAAATCAATAGCGAAAGAACTATTGCCTACACAGCCGGTGGACTTTGTTATTGAGCCATGGTGGGGAGTTTGTCTTGTCAATTTTACCCTAGAGGAATTCAAGGCAAGTTGACACCACCATCCTAAGAAAAGAAATATCTGGCTTTCCGACGTGGCGATTGAAATATTTGTTTTTGTCGTTATTCTCCTTTTCATAGAAATTGACTGAAGAAGAAACGGCAACAATAGATAAAATCTGCAAGGAAGAAGCAAACTCTTTCATTCTTTTTGATCCTGAAATTATAAAGGGGCTTCATCGACGAGGATTAGTCTATTTTGATGTGCCGGTCTACCCTGATGATCGTTTTAAAGGTTAGACACCATTTATGTTTCTTTTTGTAATATTTTGGAATAAATCTACCAAATTGCTTCTTTTGGTTAACCTTTCTTCATTTTATTTTTTGACCACCATCTAGTAAATTACCTGGGAGGTGATGGGTATTGCACCTCAATTTTCCTTTCATGTGACCTCTTTCCGAATCCAACCACCTGCAGAGTGCAGAATAAGAAGTTGGTATGCTTTGACTTACCTGTTGCTTGGATCTAGTTGGTCCTATCCTTGAATCCAGGCGCGAGCAAATTTCTTGTGTAGACTATTTATATTTGAGTTCGGATTGCTTTCTCCACAATGTGATGGCATGTATATATCATATTCATTTAACCTTAGAATTTCCTATCTACGGTTAGGTCTACTTAAACCTTCTAAATGTAACCAAATAATAACTTCCGTCTAATGCAAGGAACTTCTGAATTTCTTTTCCACTCCAGGTTATTGGAGCTGTGAGTCTGCTCTGGAGAAAATATTTACTTAGACTATCAAAGTCTCTTTGACAATTAAACGGAAACAAATTTACCGAATAAAAAAACCTTCACTCGTACATAAGATGATATTTTGACGTTCCAAATAGAGCCTACTTATACTAAGAAGGGAAAAAGTTCCAAATGGAGCCTATTCATTCCAAAAAATGCAGTTGTTGCTTAATTCATCATGCTCATATGGATGTTTGCCATGACCTATTGGCCGTAACTCAAATTTTTACTGTTAGATTTTTTATGCTCGTCATATATGATAAGACATCATGTCTAGCTGAATTAGACATTGAGCTTTTGTTAGAGATTCAGTCAGGAATATTAATTGAATGAAGAGATGAAACTCTTTTATATCTGTGGTTTAACTGTTCTTTAGTATATTTTAAATAAATTCTGCCCATTCTTGCACTTTTATGCTATCTGTTGAATCCTTTCATCTGAGACTTTAGGTTGTTCATACACAAAATATTGCAGTTTCAAGGCTTGAAGGATTTGTTTCTAACCGGGAGCAGTCCTATGAAGATCCAATTGAGGAGTAAGGCACTTTCCATTAACACAGGAATCTCATATCATATTTCCGTATGGTATACACGGGGGGTCCATATATAACATGTCACCTTCATTATCCAGGGTGCTGTATGCTGTTTTTGTGGTCTCAAGTGAGAATTCAACTGTTGCTGAATTGGCTGCAACACTACAGGCTGATCTTTCTCAACTTCAAGCAGCTGCATCTTTTGCTTGCCGATTGGGATGGGCTGTCAAACTAATAGACCCAGCATCTATTCTGCAAGATCCTAATGTTCCAGGGTCACCTAAGAGCCTTCTTAGTGACGAGGAAGATGGTTCTCATGCCAGCTTGGGCTCTGCAAATGTGTCCTCTGATGGCAGTGCTTTTCAACAAGTAGACATTCCATGGACAGAGAATAATATCAGGGCTTCTGGTTATGCTCGGGTTGCTTTTCTTGTTGATGCTAATATAACATCTTATCTTATGATGGGATCTGTATCACCAGGTTTTCTCTTCTCTCAACTATATTTCTGTGTTCCTTATTCTCATAACTGTGACAAACACTATAAAACAAAATAGGTCCTGGAATGGTGATTCAATTACATTCATTATTACCAACTGCATTATTAAAAGCACTTTTCAACTGGTGCTTGCAAAACGAACTGGGGTTTTCTGATACATATACCTACTGCAGTTTCTGTTGTGGATTTTATGGATGGTGTTATGTCAGCTGCAACTACTCATCTTTCTTGAAGTCTCCTACCTTTTGAATGAACTTCTACCGAGTTACTGCCAGTGAACAGAATAGTTATGTGTGAAAGCCAGTTTTCCTGCAAGTACGAGGAGAAAAGCTTGGTCTGTTCCTGGGAAACATGACAGATCTTCCCAAAAAGTTATAGTGATGTAATTAGAGATTAGCATCTTGTGCCGTGGCTCAAGATTGTCTGTCTGTGTTAAAGCAAAAAAGTTATAGTGATGTAATTAGAGATTAGCATCTTGTGCCGCAGCTCAAGATTGTCTGTCTGTGTTAAAGCAAAAAGTTATAGTGATGTAATAAGAGATTAGCATCTTGTGCCGCAGCTCAAGATTGTTTGTCTGTGTTAAAGCAAAAAAGTTATAGTGATGTAATAAGAGATTAGCATCTTGTGCCGCAGCTCAAGATTGTTTGTCTGTGTTAAAGCACCTTTCTTATACAGCAACAACAATAACTACGCCTCAGTCCCAACTCCCAAGCTAATATATACAGACACACACACACATTTTATATATATATAGAAGTTCTTTATATTTCCTACCCATGTATAAATCTCTGAAAGGCGAAACAACTCCTAGAAAAGTATAGGATGTAGAGTAAAAGTCTAACATGACTTAAACATATTTTCAGCTAATATATATCTCCTACATAGATCATTTTCTTGCATTGTGCCTTATCTTTCACTAAGCCTGCATGACTCCGAAGAAATTGTAGGTCCATCAATATAGCTTCATTCCAAGTGATTTTAGGTCCACCTCGTCCACTTTTAATGCCTTCACTCATTATGGTTTCACGAGCGGTGCATCAGGCGGTCCACGCTAGACATGACCATACCATCTCAACCGACCTTCTCATTTTATCCTCGATGGATGTTACTTGAACCTTCTAGCAAATGTGGTCATTGCTAATCCTGTCTAGTCTTGTATGACCGCACATCCATCTTGTCTAGCTTAGAGCACCTTTCTTATGCAGCTCAAAAATCTTTTTCCCTGATTAGGTTGTAAAGGACCTTATTGCTTGATTTTTTCTCTACTGTGCATTTTTGAAGTTGTGTCACTGTTTCCATATGCTAACTGTACACCAAAACTTTATTTTGTGTTTCACTTTTTGATATTGTACACATTTCATGGATGGATCTGAAGTTCATTGGTTATCCTGATGTCAATGTTGGTGTGCATCGAATTTCTGTGTTTGCAGTATCAGAACTTCAGTTTTTTTCTCTGCAATCTGTTTTGAACTCTGAAGTAACCGTTTTGCAGGTCTAAAATCACATGCGGTGACATTGTATGAAGCGGGAAAACTAGGTCATGCTAGTATTGCAGATCTTTGTAAAGATTTGGGCACACTCGAGGGGACAAAATTTGAAGGTGAACTGCAAGAGTTTGCCAATCATGCATTTAGTCTTCGGTGCGTCCTGGAATGCCTAGCATCAGGTGGGGTTCCAGCTGGAGAAATAGAAAAGACTGGCATTACGTCTTCAAGAAGTGAGGATGCTACTTCAATGACAAAGGATATTTCACTTTCTGAAAAATCAGGAGATACACCAACAGACAAATCTGAGCTAGATAATGAAGATATGCCACATTCTGAAACACCCCAAGTGCCTAATGATGAAGAACCTCTATCAGGAACAAAATCTAAAGAAACAAATCAATCAGACTGGGAGATCAAACCAGAGGTCAGTTCTGAGAATCATGAGAAATCAGTATCCGCTGATATCTTAGATGCTGATAAAGAGTTGAAGAAACAAAGAAAATACCGCGTGGATATACTCCGCTGTGAAAGCTTGGCTGCTCTCTCACCGGCTACTTTAGATCGTCTATTTCTGCGTGACTATGACATCGTTGTATCCATGGTTCCCCTTCCTCCTTCTTCAGTTTTGCCAGGACCAAAAGGCCCTGTTCATTTTGGACCTCCCTCCCATTCATCTATGACACCCTGGATGAAATTGGTGCTATATTCTGCTACTGCTAGTGGACCTCTGTCAGTTGTTCTGATGAAAGGTCACTTATTAAGAATGCTTCCTGCACCATTAGCTGGCTGTGAGAAAGCACTTCTATGGTCATGGGATGGATCTTCCATTGGAGGTTTAGGGGGGAAGTCTGAAGGGAACTTGGTAAAAGGAAGTATACTTTTACATTGTATAAACTCACTACTCAAGCAGTCTGCAGTCCTTGTGCTTCCCCTCAGCAGATATGATCTCGATGAGGCTAGAAGAGTTGTTACTTTGGATATTCCCTTGCCCTTGAAGAACTCTGATGGTTCAATAGCTCAAGTAGGGGAGGAACTAGGACTGTCCTCCAAAGAAACTTTCAATCTGAATTCGCTATTAGATTCTCTGTCTAACAAACTTAATTTTTGGACCATTGGTTATATTCGCCTGTTAAGACTTTACAAAGATAGAGTCCAAGATAATATCACACCTGATGACGAGAAGTATGAATGGGTTCCACTAAGTGTAGAATTTGGTATTCCACTGTTTAGTCCAAAATTGTGTAATAATATATGCAAGAGATTAGTTTCTTCACAACTACTCCAAACAGATTTATTTGGAGAGCACCATGATGCAATGCAAGAGTTAAGAAAGAGATTGCGAGATGTTTGTGCTGAGTATCAGGCCACAGGTCCAACAGCAAAACTCCTTTACCAGAAAGAGCAGCCAAAGGAATCATCCCGGCATCTTATGACCTATGCAAGTGGAAGGTGGAACCCCATTGTTGATCCTTCTTCTCCCATTTCTGGTGTCTCTAGCGAACACCACAGACTAAAACTTGCTCATCGGCAGAGATCTAGAACAGAAGTTCTGAGTTTTGATGGCAATATTCTGAGGTGCATTTTGATCAATCTCTCTCACATTTCATAGATTGATTATACTTTTCTTACTATATTGTTATCTTTAGAATCTCTGACATATTGCACCTAAAGATTTTATCTGTTTAATATCTGGATATGTATTGTGGACAATTTAAGTGCTGTCCTCTAAGGGCATGTTTCCAGTTTATGCATCTGTCTTGATTCTAAATAAGGGATTGTAGGGCTAGTATTTTGGAAAGCTTGTATTTCACTTTTGCCTTGCATGTCGTACTGGGGTTCGTGGTAAGGTAGTTGTTGCACAAGTTTGGAAGAGAACACCACGAAAGCTTTCTTCTGAATGACATTAAAAAAAATTCTTCTAACCTTCTTTACAAAAGCTAAAATGCAACTGTAAAGGTGAAAGTAGTTATATAAAATTGCTTACAAGTAACAAGAGTCTCTTATTTGGTGAAATATTTCAGCAGATTAATTTATTAAACAAAACATTTAACAAACTTAATATTCTGAAGGAAATGATGAAAGATCTCTCTGAATAACCTTTTGACTGTCAAAATAGTAAAAGAATTATCTGAATAATCTTACTCAAAAAGGGAATTATCTGATAATCTTTTGTTTTCTTGCTTGCTGCAATGAATGACGCAAGAAGTAGGAGCAGAAGAAATGGTTGTTGCTAGTCAGAGCCCTCTTGCACCTTGAACAAACCCCCCAGGGAATTGCGAAGGACTTATTTAATGTTGTTCTAGATTACTGGTCCCTTTCCATGTTTCAGTAATCTGGATTCATTAGTTTACGGGTGGAAAGTTTATAATTAGCATAAAATCTGGAATATCACTCTCTTGTGAAACTGATAACCACACTGATTTGCCCATCTGAGACATACGATGTCAACTTTCTGGTCGTCTCTTTTTGTTGTTCAAATACTTTCCAAGGATTTCATCTCATCAGGACAGAGACCTTTTGGGAAAAGGATGCCCCGCAAGAGTTTATGTACCTGGAGAAACAGTCATTGATGATCATTATCGAGTAATATGACCACCATTAGTGGGATCTGGAGATGTAAAGTTGCTTGGTATAGAACATGTTGTCTTGGGAAGCTTGCAGAGCCAGGGTGTTGTGGAAAGCATGATATATATATATATATAAGATGCTAACATTTTGTGTTCAACATGCTTAGAGAGGGACAAGAAACTTGGCACATAACTCATATCGAAGTAACATATGGTAGAAGGCTTCTGATGTTGGACTTGAAGCATGGAACATTGACCTACCAGCTTTTGAGTAAATTACTGACATCCACTGTTACAAAAATTTTACCGGCGGTTGTCACTCAAAATAAACTAAATATGAAACCGTTACTGTATATGCATTTTCTGTGAGACATGATATGTACATAGTGCCCTAATCTTGGATGTCATGGCATATCCGAGTCTTTTTTCTTTTTTATTGTAGGTCTCGAGAGGTCATCGACACTTTTCTTTGACTATGTGAGATAATGGTATACGATATAGTTTTTTTGCAGTTTGATGGCGACAGAGGAATTTAAACTTTCTAACCTGCTTTTTCGGCATTTAACTTTCAAGGATGCTGAGCAGTTGGTGAAGATAATTACTCCCTCTGTCTCAAAAAGATTGTCCTAGTTTCACTTGGCACAAACTTTAATAAAGAAGGGAAGACTTTTGAGATATGTGGTCTTAAATAAGCTTAGCATTTGTGCGGCCGTAAAACTTTTAAAACTTATGGTCTTAAATTTGTCGTAACATTTGTGTGGCTCTAAATGCTTCCTATTAAGGAAATATTGAAAGGTGTCAATCTTCTTGAAACGGACTAACAAGGAAATAGTGCCAATCTTTTTGGAAAGGAGGGAGTAGATACCTGTTGCATGTAAAAATAATTTGTTTTAACCTTGAGACTTGGCTTGTGTTGCTTAACATTTATATGACTCCTAAGTTCTTTAGAATATTGAGTAAGTCCAACATCCCTCACTTTGAATCCTTTCCCATGTTGTTGCTTCATGGCAATCTGCACTCTGCAACATAGGCCTCTATAGGATCTGGATAACTCATAGTTTAGTAGTAAAACCAATCCATAGGATAATGTGCTGTAGCGAGACCATTTTAGAAAGCTTATATAACCTTGTCTCTGAAGCAGAAATGCATTGCTGAAATTCTGAATGCTCATATAGTTTCTTCTTTCTAAGTTCTGTTATCATGCTTTTCAAATAAACTTGCAGATCATATGCTCTGACGCCTGTTTACGAGGCTGCCACCAGGCCAGTTGAGGAATCTCCCTCAGTAACTACTACTAAGGTTGAAAAAGATGATGCTGAGAATAAAGAAGCGATTTATCCTGGTGTAAACCTTCTATTTGATGGATCTGAGCTGCGCCCATTCGAGATAGGTGCTTGTTTGCAGGCTCGTCAACCTGTTTCTTTAATTGCAGAGGCGTCTGCAGCATCTACTATTTTTTCAATCAAATAGGGTTAACGATAGACATCTTCAATGTTTATTTTAAGAAAGAAGTGCTCTAGTGGCCAGTTTTTCGAGAGTATCATTGACTACCGTCCCGTGCTTTGCTGCTGCTGGTTTGTTGGCTAGATTGTTCCCGACATTGAATTGATGACAATATGGGAAGGTATTGAGGTAATGAAAGAGATTTTGTGAATTTCTTATGTTTAATTATGCTTTTACTAAAAAGTGAATCTCAACCGTTTATAAATGCTAACTACTTCACAATCAAGTATAATAGGTCCAAAAACATGTAATCTCAATATCCTTATTGTACATGAGTCTATTCTTCACTCTATTTGAGCTATAATATCTGTTTTGTTTTCTTGTTGAATCTTTTGATCTTCCTGGCCTACTAGAATTTGTATAAGATGAGGCACTTATTTGTTACTTCTTACTAACACAGAGAGTGTTGTTGTGCACAGTCAGGTGCACATATTCAGAGAAGGTGCCTTCTAGGGACTTTTTTTAGGTCAAATGAAGTAATAAAAGCTCGAAAGCTTTTTGGAGAATGAAGCTACCAGTTACTTATTTTATATCTTAAAACTACAAGTTGCTTTATGTGCTTTATGTCTTGTTATTACCATGTATTCATTATGTTTGCAACATATAAGCCTTCTGTCAAGGAAGTTAAGGGCTTAGGATATGAGACCAAATTCTGCATATTGTCAAGCTTAGTATTCCCCGTTTTTCTTGTTTTTTTCTTCGCTCCCCTTTTCTCTTTTCCCATTTTGCCTTCTCTTACATTCTAGGCCCGCGATAAGGTTTCACGAGCTCTCAAGAATTTTGAAGAGCTGTATGTTGGAAGTTTTTCATTTTCCTAAACCTAAAAGTTTCGATCACTATAGAAACTTAGTGTCATTGCTGGTGAGATATAAGGTGAAGCTGAAAGTTGCATGCAGATGCTCACTTGTTTCTGTAGGCTTACTGAGCCAGTCTTACCAGAGCTGAGAGCTGTCTTACACACACACGAAAAAAAAAAAAAAAACGGAGAGAGGAAGAAAGCCTCCTCTCACAATTGTTATGATGCCCTTTCTCAGAAGTGTTTAAACCCTAAGAAGTATTTATTCTATGTTATCTTTTCCACATTTGAATCACTTTAGCTTTCATGATTATGATTCATTGATTTGTTCAAAGTAATCTGTTGTCCATTCCATTGATTCTTTGCTAATGTTCAAAACTAAGATTTGACTTTTCTTTGTAATAGGATGGGATTTACGGAATGGGAGAGTCTGTTTCCTTGTCAATAGCTGTTTTGATTGGGATGGAATACAAAACTCTACCTTATGTTGTACTCTTACATGGCTGGTAGATGTTAAAAAAAAAATAGGACCTTGTTTTCCTTAATCTTGAAATGGATCAAAGAATAGGATATCCTTATGCTTCAGTGTGCAAAAGTGTGTTTGTGGAACATTCTCTGTGTAGAATCCTCCTGAGACTTATTTCCTCGTGTTTCACTTGCAGGTGGTGCTTCTATTTGCACGAGTTTGGTAGATGCAGGTACTATGATGAGGAATTCTGTTATTTTGTAGAAGAGAAAACCATGTCTACTCGTACGTGGAGCTGTGGTCACAAACTAGTCAAACAACAAAGAGCCTTCTATTCCAATTTTGCACATAAGATATGAATTAAAAGTGAAGGTAAAAAATATCAAGGTTTGTATTCTGTAATATGAAATTACGGCATTTGCATATTGAGGAAAAAAACAATGATGTTGCTGATATGCCACATTTTATTTCTATTTGTATCTACTGCTATCTGAACATATCAGCTGAGCATTGATATTTAAGGCTCCATTTTTGCTCAAAGGAGCTGGGTGAAACTAAGTTTTGAACATTTGATATGGTGTAATTTAGAAAAATTGTTGAATATTCGAAGATTGCCAAAACAAAGTTCTGAATGCTAAAAGTGCTCAGATTGCAAACAGTTTTGCTTTTTCCATGTTGGTTTGTTTTATGGAAAACATGTACAATTGTGGTGTTTAGTTTTATGGAAGACGAAACAATTGTTCTCTGGCAAACAAACTACAATTGTTGGTTGTTCTAGAGAACAGAATATTGTATTTTTAGTTCCAAGTGATTAAATCCTTTACTTTTGAGAAATAATTAGCTCCAAGATCTGAAAAAGAAAATCAAGTAATAGTAACCACTATTTGTTGTACTTTTGGCATTCTGCAAAAATGGTTGAACTGTCCTAGAGTCAAACTAGTTCAATAATACATTGCCTTTAACATGATATGTTTCCCGTGCATGTACAACATCCTTTTATTGGAAAGACATCCCAACTAAATAAAGCAAAAGTTGTTGAAACTTTATCTCCATAGTGTTCGTGCTGCTGGGTGAAGGAAGCACAAATATACTATAGTAGACAAAGAAAGTGTGAAAACCAACCCATTTGTTCATATAGAGAATAGTTATGGACAAAATACAAACACCTCGTATTAAACAGATAAAGTGAGGCCAATTTGTTCTGATTATTCTTAAATAAACAATGCCAACAACTCTGATTAATCAAAAAATAAAGATGGTAAAATTGTTGATTGGTGAATGATCAGTGCTAGAGGTGAATTCAGGATCTACAGTCAACAGATTCAAAATAAGTATATTTTTATTAAATGCATATAATTTAAACTTTTTTGGATATGTATATATAGTTCGAGCTGAAATAAGTGAGGTAATAGTGTAGGTTGGGTTTGTGTTGGATTGCATGTTAGGATCAATCACAGAGCATCTGAATGCACATGCTTTGCTCATTCTTTTTGTCACTACAAAGTAGGTGGAAACATGCTAGCTATTAGCTAAGATGCTGGGGTCCCAAGAATTTATTAAATAGGAAAAATTATGTAAAGTTCCTTATATTAAAAAAAAGGCACCTTCATTGTATAAATTTTAAAGTGAGACAATTTGACAATTAGAAAATAGCATAAAAATGTGTTGCTTCTTTTCACCTCTCCCCTCTCCCCTCTCTTGCCACAAATTGTCCTAATTTCAGTTCTTACACGTGTTCATGTAAATTGGGAGTATTGACACAAGCTTTTGGTTTTGAATCCGGCTAAGGTGTGAGCAGAGCCCCCACCTCCCACGGCTACAGCCAGCACCAGGAGCCTATCCACAAAAACAAAACTATTTACCCTTGTCTATCTATTTATTTTTTTACGCATAAACTAATTATATTTCCTACCCATAGTAGGTTTTGTGGGGAATTTTTTCTTTATTCTCCAATTCTCTTTTATTTCTATGCTTCTTTTCTTTTCTTTTTTCTTTTTTTTTCTTTTCCCCTTTTCTTTTTTTTTTGTTTAACTTCTTTTTTTATATTCCTTTTCTCTTCATAATCTAATTTCATTTACTGTTTTCACTATTTTTTATTATTATTACTAAAGAAAAATCAAATTGTGTACCAATTAAATGTAGCTAATACAACCAAAAAAATATTAACTAACATATGATACCAGTATAGTATATAGCTATACCAACAAGGTATACAATTGTACGCAAAGAATTAAAAAAAAATTAATTCAATTATTAAACTGAAATAATATCAGTTATCAATAAAAATTTTAAAAAATTGTAAAAGGATCTAATTATATATCACTATGATTTTTTATTTTTTATTTTTTTGCATTTTCAATTTGCTCTTCACGCCGGGTAAAAGCTTAAAGCAAATTAAAAGGGAAAAGGCAAGTTAATTTACATGTAATAAGTATACTATTATAGTATATTGTATACTATTACAACATACTGTTACAGTATATTGCATATTATTACAGTATATTATAATAATATATTGTATACTATAATAGTATACTATTGCAGTATAACTATATACTCCTGTAGTATATTGTATACTTGTAGCAGTATACTGTTAGGTAACTATGTTCTTCTTCGATTATTACAATATATTATTGCAGTATATTGTAAACTATAATAGTATACTGTTGCAGTATAGTTATATACTCCTACAACATATTGTATACCGTAGCGGTATACTGTAGCTGTGTTCTTTTTCGATTTTCAACTGAAAACTTCGATCTCAATCACCTCAAATCAGCTCCAAATGCCATCAAATTTCAATATGAACTTCTAGAAGGTACTATAAGCAATATTTAACAACATCCACTTTGGATATGGTTAAAGTAATAAACAATAATTGCAATTTGTATAACTTTCTTAGCATAAAAGAACAAAAATAAATTTAAGGATATAAGTTCCATACTACGAGTTTTCGTACTCATCAAACACAAAAGGGCATACTTAATAAAAAAAAAAAGGAGGGGAAAAAACAAGAAATAACAAGTAATTAGAGAAGTTTATATAGAAAAGAGGGTCACAATCGAGGACGGAAATGACAAGAACAAAAGTGCAGAGCATTTTGCCGGTGGAATTGAGACACATAGTGGTATTCGTCATTTTCTTGTGCAATTTGGAGAATTCTTCGATTTTGGGCTTAAACTGGACGATAGAAGAAAGATAGATGGTTGGCAAGGAAAAAATCGGGTAAATAGTTTGGGCCCCATGGGTAGAAGTAGTAAATTATTTGGGCTTGAGCATTAAAGGGTAAATAGTTTAGGATTAATGGGTATAAAGTGAGGGGCATTTGCATCTATACCCGCTTTTTGGGTCACGTTTTAACTTGTGCCCGCTTTGCAAAA